CTAATGTAATGTTCTTGATCTTGATGGGCATGCTGAAGGATGACCAACACAGCGCTATACGCAGCATAAAGCAGCCCGTAATGCGCGTGTCTGAGCGTGAAGTATGTGTTGTAGGCTTCCAACAGACGCCAAATCTTGAATGCGGCGTCGATGCACCTCCGACGTCCGTCATCTCCAGAGACAGGCTCGATGGAACAGTTGAAGTGGCCCCGGTTCAAGAACGCCTGCTCGAGCAAGATGACCAAGGTCCAGTATGAAACTCTAGAATTGGTTTGTTAATCAGATTTGAGCAACATCGAGAAGGAGAAAGATTCGACTCACTGCAGTGAAACTAGATTAGGCGGAGGAGTGTCGTCTTTGCCTGGCTCGAATAGGAGGTGAGTTGGTAGACTGTCCATCCATCGACTGAGGTTTTCCCTCATTTTAGACCGAAATTGTAATAGATCCGGCATCGGCGTCTGAGCACTCCTGACGGAATAAAAGTGTTGTATGATCTCTTCTGCTATTGCAGCAAGCTGCAGCATACCTTGGAAGCAGCTGATTGCATAGGCCGGACGTCCCTTGTAGCTTACTGTTGGGCTGATACTTGCACTACCAGGATTCCACTGCTCCATTTCCTCGTACGAATCAAGAAACTCTTTGGAGATGTTACCGTCCTTTAAGAGAAGGCCCGGAGGACGGCCCAAGTAGAGTGACTGGAACTTGTCGCTTGTGTAGGCGCCCCAGTAGATCCTCCGTCTCATCTCCATCTCTGTGACGGACACCCCGTTCTTTGACTCGGGATCAATACCGCTCGGGATGTCTAGGTGGTAGCCTAGATCAACCATCATTCTGTACGCCATGCCACAGTACACCCACCCGGCGCTCTGTTTGCCGTACGGAACTAGACAAACCCCACACACGACGAGTGCCACCACAGTAGGCATAGTCGGATTGTCGATATGTTGAGGGAGCAGCTCCTTGAAGCGATCGTAGAAGCCCATGCCGGTTGTCGAAGGATCTTCGGGACATGTGCGTACAATACTGAGATCAGTAAATAGACTGCTCTGTAGGAAGATCGCATTCAGCAGCAGTTTGTTGACATAGGGCCCATTTTTGAAGATGCTATCCATGATTGCAGGACGATATGTCCAGAGATATGTGTAGTGTAATCGGTTCCAGTGTAGATTCAGTAAATGCATCGCAATATCCGCAGAGACGCCATCAAAGTCTGCGTTGGCTAAGACGCTAGGCGTGGAGTAGAAGACGAGTTCTCTTTGATACGACGTGGCAGCTTGTGCTATGAGTCGATCCTGGGCGACTCTCTTCAGAAAGGCATTGGTCTCGTCTTTGCTTGATGTCGAACTCTTCCAGAAATGACCGCTGGCGTTATCATGAAGGAGACTGGTGGCACCATACACGGTTGTGTCGCCCTCAATGGAAGGGCGCTCATGTAGCTGAGGCATGAGAGGGTCGGCGTCTGTTTGATGCCGGCTAGGCGGGGACCTCGAAGAACATGCATACTCGAGCTGTGCAGGAACAGAAGAAGTGGGCGAGTTTTGGGGTCTGCCAGGAGCAAACATGCGACTGTTTTCTAGTGACTCATTACCAGTCGAAGGACTACCCAAGTCAGTCAGATTTGGAACAATGAAGGGATTCATGTTTCTAACCTTCTCTCAGAAACTCGCTGCTTCAGCTGTTCAATCTGGTTTTGAAGTGATTGGATCTCTGACGCCTTTGACCGGACGACAGCCTTTCGACCGTCTTCTGGGTACTCGCACCGATGACTTCTCATACGGCAGCCACTGCATTCAGGGCGTTGGCCATCACATTTTACCTATAAAATTGTGATTATTTGATGGCAAGGAGAATTTATCGCTCGCCTTTTACGATGTTGCCAACGTACTTTCCTCGACCGGCAGACTTTGCAAGTCCTACAGACGACGCGCTGCTGAGCGATCTTCGCCGGCATCGTTGTGAACCATCGATTCGGGCTGTTGAAGAATGAAATCCGGCCGATTTAGTCATTAACCAGGCCAGGGTCTGGGCGCAGCCAAGCCATTTATATGTAAGTACAAGCGCGTAAATCCAAGCCACATGTGGCGCTCGCACGAACCGGAGGCTTCTCGTCGTGGCCAACAACACTCCTTGCAACCATCTCACCAGGCTGTATTCAAGCTACACCTGCTCTGTCATCGACTATGAAGTCATCCATATTACCAATGACCTTCTGAGAGACATCTCGCTCCTACTGGTTCCTTCTAATCACGAATCTCAAGGTCACAAGTGGACTAGTTCTCACCCAAGTAAAACCATGCTGGAGGCAACAAACTTTGTCTGGGTGGTTGAGAGAGGTAGCGGAACCTGCGAGAGGGCTTCATATCCAACCCGACTGATGATATGGCACTGAATGTTCTGCCATCAAATAGTAGCTGACAGCCGCGAGCCTAGATGAATGGATGGTAATGTCTGGAGCAAAGGCCTAGGTTGTCATACGGAGTGTAGTGACTGAGTAGGCATGCTGTTGAGACGATGTATACAGAGAAAGATTCGTGACAAGACCTTTTTATGGCCCATATAGACATGATGTAGCCAGTGTTTGTGCCTCCATGTCGGCGCTTGAGGATGCTTAACTCGGAGCAAGACTGTTCCATATGATGTGAATCGACGGTACATTCTCTGTTTATAAGTTCATTTCATTGCGTAAAACCCCGCACTCATTTCGGCCTTTGCTTTTGTCTGTGTGATGCCTCGAGTCGAGACTCTTCGGACATCTCACATACCAATGTCCGTGTTCATTCATAGTGAGATTGGACTAGCGCAACCCATGAATGGTCCACTTTCGGACATCGATGTCCGAAGCGCCACCGGGTATTCCACGGGACTTTGCTCCACGGTTCCCCGTGGACTTTGAGGTGACAGAGTGGCATTGGTCTAGATAAGAGGAAGTGACTCTTCTCACTGATTTCCATTGGGTAATCACATACGTACAGTATGCTCCGATGCTTGCAATGCCAATTGTAAAACCATTTTAAGTCTGTAATACGTCTGAATGCTCCCCTATGTCTCAGGTAATTGTGGTATGTTCAATTTCGACGAGTTAAGGCTTGCGTAATTTGAAAGAAAACGAAACCTTTCCAGTAATGACGCCGGCTGTGTTTACGCGCTCAATGTGGTGGAACGCCTTCATAGCGTCACGGCTTTCCACAGAACCGATGCCAAGTTGTTCCAAGATCTCCATCACTGCTGCATATAAAATTTCCTCGTTTCCATCTTCAACCTTGACAGAGATTCCCAAACCCGAGTTGGCCCCCAGACGCCGCGTCTCTTGGGAGTCTCGGATGGCAACACCATAGCACCCATCGGCACCCAGCTTACCCACGAGAGTACCACCATGCTTGAGCATCAGTTCAGTACAGAATCTAGCATCCCCAGCAACCATTTCGGGGAACCGCCACATAGAATGGTAAATCCTAGCCAAATTCCTCGTCCTTGGGTCCGTCGCAGAACCCTGAGCGTCAGCGTCTGCAGCGTGAGCAAGGAGAGCATAAAGGTGACTGATGTCACGGAGAGGAAGGGCGGGAGCTGGCAGGTTGCATCCGTCGATGCCCCATTTGATCTCGTCAGCCTCCAGGCCAGTAAGCTCCTCAAAGGTATGTCTGACACGAATTTGGACTTCGTGATTGGACAAGTGATACTCCTCGTCTTGCCCCAGTGCTTTGGCCCCAGCTAGCATGCCGATATGCTTCGCAGAGCAATTGTTACAGAGAGCCCCAGGCGTAAACCCTTTCCTGATCCATTCGTTGTTGACGCTCTCGGACATTGACGGGTGACCTCCGCACCGCAAGTCTTGCTCTTTGGCCGCAATCTTGGCCAGCATCGTGACCCCGGACTGAACGTGACGCTCCTCGCTACTATGCGAAGAGCACATGAGAGCAATTTCCTTGTCGTCGAAACCGAATTGCTCAAATCTTTCAATCTCGAGAAGGGCGAGAATTTGAGCTGGTTTGGCTGCTGATCGGGCGAGTGTCAGGCGTGATGGGTCGCCCACGGCGTACAAGAGACTGCCATCAGCGTCTGTGACTGCAGCGTGAATTCGATGAGTATTTTCGGTGATTCCTCCTCGATCAGAAAAGACACAGTCTTCTAGAACTGCATGTTGAGACATCCTCATTGGACTTCAGCGCTGCCAGGGATAGTACGCGATGTAGAAGCTGACGAGAATGAGATAAAGTACAGAAAAGAAGTTGGTGGCATGATCTGTTCTGGTTGTGATTGGTAGGAGAAGGAGTCCGTATCGACGGCCAGCAAGTTTCATATCATTACTTCCACGATCAATGTGGTTCAGTCTTGTAAAGAACAAAATCTTCACTTGCACGTGTATCTTGCACAATCACCCATCATGAAGGGAAGTCCCGGTGGGGTGACTCACGTTTACCGTCGGACATATTGTCCGAGCCAGGGAGGGGCACTAGATGAGCCTTCAAACACGCCTTGACGTTTAGCCAGCTGTAATACTCCATTTGATTACGTTATGTCAATATAATCTAGTGAAGTATTACTGGAAGGGCCTGAATCATCTACCTATTCCCTGACAAATCTGTGAGGGCGTTCATGTCGTAGGTAGTGGCAGCTGCTTGTCCAAGCCAAGTGATATCAGCTTCTCCGCGGAGAGCATTCAATGGATGACCGAATCTGAACAACACATCCAATGGTATGACGGATATTACGTCTTGGTCAAGTCAATTTTGAGGACCTGGCCAATGTCAATGTGGCACCTTTCTCGGCGACTCTCGGACTCTGCAACCCAGGTGGCATCAGAGAAACTTTATTCAACTGCATGCCGGAGACAAGTGTGCGACTACTCAGCTTTCACTTGAAAACATACCACGCGCTTAATATGAGACTATCTAGTTTCATAATGAATATTTAATGGGTGAGGGAGCGCTCATGATGTCTCAAGCACTTCGACTGAGATAACACACCTTCAATACCTTTAAGCACTAGTATTATCCTACATCATGTTCATCCCATCACCACACGCGGAAACACGTATCAGCACCTTACAACAGCTGATTCGAGAGAACCCCCTCGGTGTTCTCACCACCGCCATTCCATCAGATGCCCATCCTCTCATCCTTGCTAGCCACATCCCCTTTGTCTTGGACGTCGAAGACGAGACGAGTGATGAGGACCTCGGCCGGTTGAGGGGCCACCTAGCCCGCCAAAATCCACAAAGCAAAGCAATGATCGAAGCTGTCCAATCTGCCGGTACTGAATCAACGACACTCGATCAGGAGGTTCTCGTGCTATTCACGGCCGCACCTCATCATTATGTCACACCCAAGTTCTACACCGAGACGAAGCCCACGACTGCCAAAGTTGTCCCCACTTGGAACTACGCCGCTGTCCAGGCTTACGGCCGAGCAACAATCTACTTTGACAGCAAGTCAGAAACTGCGTCTGCCTTCCTATCAAAGCAGATTGATGACTTGTCCAGGCACACTGAGACGTCTGTCATGGATTACACTGGAAAGGGAGATAGACCCGGCCCTTGGAAGGTTGCGGACGCCCCTGAGCGCTACATTGAATTGATGAAGAAGAACATCATTGGCATTGAGATCGCTATCGACCGCTTGGAGGGGAAATTCAAGATGAGTCAGGAAATGCGAAAGGGCGATAGAGAGGGAGTGATCCGTGGCTTCCAGAGCCTTGGCTCTGACGGTGGTCAAGCCATTGCTGCCTTGGTTCAGGAGCGAAGCGACATGAAGGAGCTGGCAAAGACAACGTGAGTGCCTTGCGAGGGAACAAATTGAAAAGACAGGTAGAGAATTGTGTCGTTGGAGAAGTCTTGCTGTTAGGGTCCGAATGTGCCAAATACTCGGAGATAGAAGCTAGATGTGCGCATCTAGAAGGATAGAGAAGCAGAAAGGTCTGAACATAATTCAAGGTATCTTCTTAAGTGCCTTAGTAAAGGGGATGGTTCGAAAAAGACATTTGCAATGATCTAGAGATGAAACAGGTGATGAGATTTGCTGTTGATTACGACTTGCTAGGCACGATATGCTGATGTAGGCTCGTCGTCCTGGATGTAGTATCATACACTGCCCTGCCTACCCTGCCTCACAACTTCTTTATCGTACAGGGATAAGTTCTGTTCTGGATAGAAATCAATCCAAACTTGAGATTGATTTACTTTCCATTTGCCAGCACAGAGTTCAGCCACTTTCCCACGGTCGACGCTTCGCTATGGTCCAAACCCTCCGCGCGGAGACGCTCTTCCCAGTCTGCGACCTCCCAGATCTGAGTGTTGATCATGGAATTCGAGAGCTTGGCCGATCCTTGACTAGAGAGACTAGAGGACGGTCCGGACAGAGAGAAGCTTTGGACGAGGCCGTGGCGGGCTTCAAATGTGAGGTTGAACTGGACGGGGTCAGCTGGCTGTGCTGGGTAGATTGGCTACATGTTTGAGCGTTGAAGGGGTCAAGCGGGATTGGATGGAACGAAACGACCAAAGACTAGAGATGAAGATGTTTACTCACGTTGCCCGGGAGCTGAGGACGTTCCCGCGTGTCTTCTTCAGAGGGGTGTGTAGAGAAGGTGAATAGAGGGGTCTGGCCATACGTCCATTCCCGAGACTGTGTATATCCGTTAGTTTCTGACCCTGGCTATCGCCGACCGAGGAGAGAAGAAATGAAAGCTTACCCGTAATTCCTTGAGTCCCTTCTTTACCTTATCCTCTCCGAGCGCATCCTTCTCGCCCAGTTCTGCCCGGACAGTGAAGTCACCGTACATTTTTCCAAATTCGCTAATCACGGCATCCTCGAACGTCGATGTGTCGGTGATGCCCACGTTGCGGATACGTGAGCGCACACTCTCGACGCCGCGGGCCTTGATGAAGGGTTCCGCGGGAGACTGCAGGAAGCTGCCAATGCGCGGCAGGTTCGGGGACGAGAGGAGACACGTTCCGTGGTGCAGGGAGCGGAGACGGGTGAGCTTGTACGCCGAGCCGGAGATCTTGAACGTGTTTTCCGCGTTCACCTTTGGCTTGCTGCACGATGCCGCTTCTACGGAGGCGGTGGTATCCGGTGCTTTGTCGGAGGTTCCTGAAGAGGAAGGCGAAGGGGGAAGAGTCATGACAATGTCATGGCGGCAGTTGACGGCGGCGCCCTCGACGCTGAGGGAGCGGAGGGCGCGGACGACCATCTCTGCATGGGTGTCGCGGTCAAAGTTTGCAGGCGGGCAGATGACGGAGTAGTTTACATTGCCCTCATCGTGGAAGACCGTTCCGCCTCCGCTGCGGCGGCGGACGAGGTCGATGGCATCCGACGGGGGTAGAGACTTAAGGAGGGGAAGGTTGACCTCGAGCCACGGGTTCTGGTTGCGGCCGATGACGATGCTGGGGCGGTTTGTGTACAGGAAGAGGACGGTCGAGTCAGATGGGGTCATTTGAAGGAGGTGGTGCTCGATGGAGAGGTTCACGTAGGGGTCGCGAGAGTTTGAGGTGTAGACTTGGGTCTTTGAGGTTGGTGAGGCGGCGAGGGCAGAGAAGAATCGGGTTTGGCGGGAGGTTTGGTGTATTGATGGTCTGATGCGGAACAAAGTTCCTTGAATGCTACGTAGTGGCAGCATTGTGATGATCTGTGGGAGATATTGGATGAGACGGGATTGATGGTACTTTCAGATTAACATTTTCATGAGCCCCTGTGAAAAGTCTCGTGAGTTTCGACTGTGATCCGAAGATTAAAAGAGTGTATGAGGATAGATTGAGAGCAAAGAAATGAGTCTAAGTCAGTTTGATGAGTTTACGAGTAAGAGAGGTCGCGTTAAGGATGTATTCACTGCCGTCTGATGGCGGAACGAATGAGTGAGCAACGCGGTGAGATGAGGTTCTCAAGTAAGTTGCATCTAACAGAGTCCATTTTCTCACTAGGCCACCCACCCCTGTATGGGCAAGACCCACCCGATTAACGGGGCAATTCAACTACATCATAGAAAACCCCTCCACCCCGCAGACGGCCGATTTCTTTCTGTGGTTGACTCACCGAACATCGGCCCAGATAATTTTCCAAACTTACATACCGCTCTCCCCTCCTCTCGTTTCCCACACTCCAACTTTACCCCCTTTATAGCGGTAGCAAAAATGTCAACGTTCGGCAATTACTTCAAGGTCACGACGTGCGTCGCCTCTTCCGACCCAATTCCTCTTGTTCGTTTCTCGTGGCCAATTGTGGACTAACATAGGATGCCCCTCTGCGCAGCTACGGCGAGTCCCACGGCAAGTCCGTCGGCGTCATTGTCGATGGCGTCCCGCCCGGCATGGCTCTGACCGAGTCCGATATCCAGCCTCAGCTGAACCGCCGCCGCCCCGGCCAGAGCTCAATTACGACGCCCAGAAACGAGAAGGACCGTGTCGTCATTCAGAGCGGTACCGAGTTCGGTGTCACCCTTGGCACCCCGATTGGCATGCTCGTCCAGAACGAGGATCAGCGTCCCAAGGACTACGGCAACTCTACGATGGACATGTTCCCCCGCCCTTCCCATGCCGATTGGACCTACCTCGAGAAGTACGGCGTCAAGGCCTCCTCCGGCGGTGGTCGCTCCTCCGCCCGCGAGACAATTGCCCGCGTTGCCGCCGGGGCCCTCGCTGAGAAGTACCTCCGCGAAGCCTACGGTACCGAGATCACCGCCTTCACCACGAGCGTTGGCAACTGCCACCTCTTCCCCCCGACCCCCGAGCACCCGAGCCCCTCGACGAACCCCGCCTTTCTCTCGCTCCTCAACACCGTCGACCGCAAGACCGTCGACCAGTTCCTCCCTGTCCGCTGCCCGCACGAGGAGACCAACGAGAAGATGATTGACCTCATCAGCGACTATAAGGCGCGCGACGACAGCATTGGCGGAACCGTCACCTGCGTCATCCGCAACCCACCCTCGGCGCTCGGCGAGCCCTGCTTCGACAAGCTCGAGGCCTCGCTTGCACACGCTATGCTCAGCATCCCCGCCACAAAGGGCTTCGAGATCGGCTCCGGCTTTGGCGGCTGCGAAATTCCGGGCTCCCAGCACAACGACGCCTTCATCAAGGCGCCCGAGTCGGAGCTCCAGGCCGACGCCCAGCGCATGGGTATCCCCCGGTCCAAGTTGACCACCAAGACCAACTACTCTGGCGGTATCCAGGGCGGCATCTCCAACGGTGCGCCCATTTACTTCCGCATCGCCTTCAAGCCCCCCGCGACCATCGGCGTGGACCAGACGACGGCGACCTACGACGGTTCAGAGGAGGGCGTGCTGGCCGCCAAGGGCCGTCACGACCCTTGCGTTGTCCCCCGTGCCATCCCCATCGTTGAGGGTATGGCGGCGATCGTCCTCTTGGACGCGCTCATGGCGCAGCACGCAAGACAGATGACAAAGAGCCTGCTGCCTCCCATTAAGAGGGAGAATGGCAAGGCGTAAGTCGGTTGGAGACTGGGATGTGTTGTAAATAACGGGCATTAAAAGCAAATTCATGATGAGATTCCCCTTTTTCGGTTTGTCAGCGAATAGTCTTCTTTTTCTTTGCATTTTCCTGTACGACGTGAAGTGACACAAGTTGAATGAAGAAGTGACTCATCTCACAACTCTTCCGACGTCTGTTGCTGCTTCGCCGCCTTCACCAGATGGAACTCCTCCTGTCGGCCGTAGACCCATTGCCATCCCTCTTCCTCGCCAGCCCAGTATACGTCCTCCTCCAGGGCAAACCAAAGGGTCGTGTTCCTCGAAGGTACGTAATGCTCGACGAGAAGCTCTACGCTGAACCACATACTACGGATCGCAGCCAATTCGCCAGCCGCCGAGACGTACTCTTGCATGTTGGTCATTCCTATGCGAAGTCAGCGCCGCACCAGATTAACGGTCTTGTAATGGAAACATGTCGTCTTCTTACCGATAAGAGGACCAGCAGAATGTCCCCAGTCCCCAATTGGGTGTGAGTAGACCCGTCCCTCAATGCCCTCGGCGTGCATCTCTCCCAGCGACGCCTTGAGCATCTCGTTACCCGTCTTACCGACAGCAATGTTTCGCCTCACGATATCTTGAAGCTTGTTACCCTTCTTTAAGCCGTCCTCCAGATCTTGAGGCACATCAGTCTCGTCGGGCCGAAGCACGTATCCCAGATGCTGCGTGTCCGTGTTCAGCCCCATAGCCGTCAACCCAAAATCAACATGGAGCATGTCCCCATACTGAATGATCCTGCCTCCCGCATCTTCATCAGCAGTCGTCTCCAACCTCATAGTCCAAGGGAGCGCCTCATCGACGACGCTCACACTCGGCTGAAACCACGTCGAGAAGTTGTGCGCCAGGATCTCCTCCCGGAACCACCACTCCAGGTCCCCCGTCGTCGTCTTCCCCGGGACAACAACCGCCTCGCTGAATCCCTTGGCAATCATCGCCCAAGCCGTCTCCATGATCTCCCTGTACCGCGGCATCTTGGACGCGGGCTGGGCCGAGATGAACTCGACGGCGATCTCGGGCTTGACGACCATGCGCGAGGTCCACTCGCCGCCGAGCCCGGAGGCCATGGCCTGATACTCGCCCGCGTGCAGGCCGCTGGCGAAGGCGATTTCCGGGTGCGCGTTGACGGCGATGGTGGCTGGGTTCGCGGCTTCGAGCTGGGATTTGAGCGTCGCCCAGACGTCTGCGGTCCAGCCTATGATGCAGCCGGGTTGCTGTGGGAGGGTGGCGGTGGTGGTGCCGTCAGAGGAGTTGGTGGAGCCGAGGGGTTCAGCGAGGAAAAGGCAAGTTGTGCGGCGCCGAGCGGAGAAGGTTGATGCCGGTTTGAGGGACCAAAAGACTGTTTCTTCAGCGTACTCCCGTTGGCTTATCTATCGCTCGTGTCAATACCGCCGTCTTGTGAAATGAGGGGTGAGTGAGCGAGAGCGAACCAGCCAGGCGTCGACGCCGTGTTTCTTGAGGAGGGCGGGGATGCCCGCCTTGCGCTCGTCGGTCCAGGCATCCTGGATGCTGGCTTGCTCGCGGAGGGGCGGGAGAGAATTATATTTCGGCGTTGGATCGCTGGCCGCCCGTTGCCAGAATATTGCGGCGGCAGAGAGCAGTGATATGAGCCAGTGCATTGCGGATCTGCAAATACCTATATCGATCTCGCGGGCGGAGTGAGTTGAGGATGAGTGAGGTTGAAGGGAGGGGTGGTGAGGTTAAAGATAGGATGGAGGATTTGAGATCGGATGACGTCCCGGACGCCCCGTTTAAGGAATGTAGGTTTGAAGTTGAATTACTTGAGCGCAATGCAGTAGGTTGTCTAGTCCCGGAAAGGCAGCTCGATGATGGCAACCTTGGATCTCACGCTGCATGGATGCTGATCCCCGCCCTCGGTGAGTCTGTTCACCGAGATCGGGCATTACATCGCACGACAAAAGGTCGAGATTATCGTACATAAACGCCCGCACTGAATCAACTCGTCCCTGAGGTTCACGTGCGGGAGAGTTCATTTCATTGCTCAACGTGAACGGCGAAGTAGAAGTGCAAGATCGTGTGTTTTGATTGAGGCTTTTTGCTCCAAAGTTCTTGCGAAAGCCCAGGAAGTGAGGTGTGTTCTATCTAGTTCTATATAGAGGGGTATTGGTATTGTACATGGAAATTGCCAGTTGAAAATCATAAAGCTTCATAATGCTATCGTCCCTGAACTCGTGCATTAAAATTGTGAATGTGGCTGTAAATGCCTAGTGAAGTAAACATGAACAGGAGAAGTGAAGATTCGACGCCAAATTGAGACGCTCTATTGAAGTATGTGTCAGTCATTTGCACGAGAACGAAGGCTGACAATGCTAGACTTACGAAGTTATGCCCATGTTTGAGACTGATCAAGTCTGATGCGTCAACTTGTCTCCAAGATTTGACCGAGCTTAAGAAGATGTCTTGCAGTCGTAGTCGCAGTTTCCCAGTGGGTTAGAGACGTTCGGACATTGACATCTTGGTGTGTCCCAGCTATCGCAGTCGCTGACCCGTTCACACCACTCCAGCAACAGCTAAGCTGACGAGAGCGAAGATTGTGTATACCAAACCGTTCTGCGAGAGGTTGGATGCCCCAGAGTCATTGTCACTGGCTGTGGATTGAGGACCACCTCCAGTCTGCGTGGGTGACGGGCTCGGATCGTCGACATGGAGGGCATTCGTGCTGCCCGTCCAGGCGTTCCAGTTGGTCAAGCCGCCAGGGCATTCGTTTGCAATCTTGCGCCCATCGATCTTGGCGATCTCGGTCCCGTACTTGGTCATGGTGATGACGACGTCACCGGTGCCCAGGAAGGGAATGCTTCCGTGGTACACCCCCTTGCCGCCATCAGGGGTCGAGGTCCAGTTGCCCTTCTGCGCCCTGCCTCCGACGGAGACGGTGACCTCTGCTGCAGACGTTAGGAGGGCCGAGTAGAAGATCTTATCACGGACAACCTGGGCTGCCGTCAGGGTCTCTTGGTCGTGTGTGACTGCGTTGGCTATGGTACCGCCGTCCTTGCAAGAGAGGGCGGGCGAGCCGCGGTACCATGTCATAAGGGCTTCGTCCTTGATCGAAGGGGCCACGGCGGCTTTATAGCTGTCGATGAGGTAGGGGAGGAAGTGGCGCCAGCCGTCGTGGGGATGGTCGAGGGCGTAGTTGAAGGGGGCTTCGCCAACTTCGAAAGCCTCCATGGCGTTGGTGCGGACCGGACCGATGTGGTGTGATTCGCCGTAGTCGTTCCAGGAGATGATTTGAACGAAGCTATCGATTGTCAGTTACTCGAATGATAAGAGGGAGACAATAGTTCTTGCAAAATTGACTTACGCAGGCATCACATCCATCACCTGGTTCCAGCGATCGTACCAGAGGTCATCGCCGCGCCACACCCAGTTCTTGTTGTAGCCAGGGAGGTTGGTATAGAACCAGGGGGATACGGGCATCATGTAAGGCTTGCCCTTCAGGGCCCAAGCATACGCAGCGTCACTCTTGTCAGTCATGTCCTGGTCACCGACTGGCCACGCGTTCCAGCTGAACAGCCCATCAGCAACGCCGTTTCCTAGTGCCAATGCGTCCTCGGGCGACACGGAGGACCAGTCGGGGATGAAGAAGGCGCCTGTCTTGTTCTTGATTTCGATCCAATCCTCGGCGTTCTCTGTGCCCTCAAAGGTCGAGGCGAGGGGCTTGTCGGCATACTTGAAATACTCGTCGAGCTTGAAGTACTTCTCTGTCATGTCCAGAATAGTCTCCTTGGGCCAGGGCTTACCCCCGTGGTAGCCGCCGTTATAGTCAAAGGAGAAAAAGAGCTGGAATCCAACATTCTTGGCGGCGACGAAGGCAGTCTCGAGAGACGAGTTGGTGTTAGGGTCCGTCAGGCCCATGTTAAGGGCGAAAGCGTCGATGTGGGCATCCTTTGCGATCTTGAAGTCATCTTCGAACTCGCTGAGAGTGTAGTTCTTGGTGTTGATGAGCTGGCGAAGTATGTTAGCAGCTGAGACATCAGACGATGAAGTCAAGGACCTGGTAGGGATGCCAGCATCAGAGGTGAACATACCATGAAGTGGGCAAAGACGGACGCCGCTTGTACTTGTGTAACTGCGGCCAGGAGGCCGGTGAGACAGGTGGTGAACTTCATCGTCACGGCGAACAAGAGCTTGCGTGATACGCAGATCAAGTCGTCGATGTCAAGTGTGATCGACACGGAAATCAGAGTTTACAGATCTTGCAGGAGAGCCACAATTTCACATGAGAGAGACCAAAGGCCACGGCCGCTGCATTATGTATCGTGGCCTCCTTCACTTGAAGAGGGGGCCATGTCAAGTATGGCTCGCATATCTACCCATCATGTCGGTTTCTGCCTTGCGAACCGGCCAGGGCGACCACGGTACCGCCCCTCTGGCGCTGTACGCCGTTGTCCTTGATGACCCCCTGGCATGGCGACAACCTGACTCCATCGCGAGATAGGCAGGTAGGCCAACGGTAGGCGGTACATGCGGCTGGAACTACACGGCCTCAAACTCCCACCGTCAAACAGACAAGCAGGGGGGGGGCTGCTCGTCTCGGACAGGGTTACGAAGGGCGCTTGCCTGATAGGGCTACATGAGAAGAACAGGGGGTGAGTGCTTTGTGAGACGCCGTTGGATGTGTCTCTGGACAGATGGGCTGTGTAGATATCGGTCTCCAACGTCTAGAGTGGTTTCTCTGTCTGCTGTGCCATTTTGTGTCTCTTGGGCCTCTTGTGCCTGCTGTGCCGCTGGACGACGGCGCGAAAAGATGCAGCGAGCCAAGCCTGATGATTTGGATAAGGCCGCTTTTGCCGTGGGAAATTACCTCGCCCGGCTCTGCTTACTCTGCATCATGAGTGCGATCCGAATAGTTCTTGCTGGCGGTGAGGGATATAGCTTTCACGCGGCGTTTGATACGGGAACGTGAGTAAAAAGGTGGCTGTAAGAGCTCGTGTACGTTCGTGAAGTTGGCGCGATATGTCATCCAAAGTGAAGCCTATCGAAAGCTTCTGTTCCTTGCGTTGATCGGATACGAAGTCGGGAGAGATCGACGGCAAAACACGACCCGAGAAATATTCCTGGAGACTGAACGTGGTAGATCTGCTCAGCGGTACGGTGTTTCGGGACCCTCTGAGCCTCTTGTCCTCCTCCTCCAGAGACCCATCTTTCCAACTTGGCTTTTTGGTTGAACCCTGCCAGGTTGCTCGCCCGACATCTTAAGCTTGTTGAGCCCGCCCAGGGCCCTTCAAGACCAATCATCCGGAGACTGCCGCGCAGCCGGACGTCATGCCGGATCCTACACTAGCGGCTTTCCGCTCACCCATCGCGACACTCACGATCCCTGTCATCTGACGGCCTACACGTGCGGAATCGGCCGAGCGGCCCCTGTCCGTCACATCAAAACCGCTCGCCAACTGACTGAGTAGATAGCCTAGTAACGGTCTGCCTAACGCAACCTGCAGCTGTGCCTCTGTATTTAAGATTAAATAAGCAAATGCTACGGTTGTTTACAGGACAGGTTCCGCTATTACCCAGGTGATTCTAAAGAACCGTGCATTGTCGGATATCTCACGCCCAGGGTAAGGGACTGTATCGGCAGCAAGGGTTCCGTGATGGATACACGTATCTGCCCACTATTCTCAGGCAGCACCGGGCAATATTGATGTCTGTGAGTCTTTAAAAACCATGTTGTAGAGGAGGGGCCACCGTTGCTTAGCCATCTTTTGCAAAGCTTGGCTCTAGTCCACCTTCGTGTCGTCCGTGGCGCCTCGTAGTCGCAGCCAACCACACTGTTGAGACCCGATCGAAACATCCAAAGAGTAAGGGACGTGCATACTCGAGAGGGAACCAGCCTTGTGGGGGGCTTCCTTCGACGTTGAAAACGAGAAGATGTACGGATACCGGAGCCGGCAACGTCATCGGCGGTGGGCTAGTTGACCGTAAGTGTATCGGAATCCCGCCAAATCGCATACACGGAGGGCTGTTTAGTGGCTCTCGTGGCAGCTGTCAGGCTATTTCAGATCAGCAAAGACGGATAACCGGCGGTTTGGGTACGGTTTGCACCGGGCTGACGAGACCAAAAACCCCATCTGGGCGTCGCGCTGGTCTCAGACAACGTGCGTTATCGCCGGCCAATCGTCCGGACTCCCTCCGAGCTCCTTGCGACAGGGGTTTCGTGCTGGACAAGCCGCACTTCGCACTTTGAACCAACCACACAACAGACAGAGGGGGGGGCAGAAAATCACACCAACACTGACATGGATGGATTCTCATGTCGCTGGGCTGTCAGCAAGATATCCGACCGCCTCGGTTATTCATTACCCCGTGGGCAATCACAGACGCCAAGGCAAGAGGAGGAGGATGACTGACTGCATGAGTCCATGGGTACAAGACAGAATCGAGGGGGGGGAAGAGGCCAAAAGAGCAGAGCAAAGAGAAAAAAAGACCATGTTCCAACAGCATGATCGAGAACCTTAAGCCACCCTGTCCCCTGACCCCTGTCCGAATCCACTGTTCTAGACCCTTTGAAGTTGAGTTGCAGCGAGTTGCAGTGACTTCAGAGCCACCGATTTGGCCCGCTCTTTTGCGTCTCTAACCAGAAAGCGAAAGTCGTTCACCAGTCAATTCCCAGCCGCTCCTGTTGGTGTCTGTTAGAGCAAACGCGCAAAAAGGCGGAGTCTCGGCTTGTAGATCCGGATAACCTGTTTAGCCAGGCGAACCTCAACGGTCACGTTATCACCCCAACAGACATAGTTTTATCCATGATGCGCCTCATCTTTTGCAATTGAACACTTGTAGAGCCATGACTTCTGCGCTCTTTAACACCACTGTGGAAGTATCTGAAAGACTGTGTTTTAACGTAACTAGATTGAATTGCTAGCATTTCAACTGCATTGGATTATCCCATCACTGAGTCTAGGACGACATAGTAAAATGTTTGTAGTTTCCAGCTAGAGGCTTGGTCAACTGGGCCCTCAGCTCGACAGCCGAAAATGTCGGCAAATAATCAGCGTATTGTTTCTTCATCATCCAGTCATATTTCCTGGTCCATTGCCTCAATGCTCAAATTAGCTGTCTCTGAACTAGAAGTTGGTACCATCATAACCAGTTCCATCGCCGCGGCCACTTCCCGTACGGTTAGTGGTGACATCTGGCTGAGGAATCACCTCATCGGCGTATCGTGGAAGATCCGAAGGGTTGCTAGGAATGGTCACCTCATTCGTAACGACACTGACCAAAAGGTTGTTGAGATTGCTCCTGGCCTGGAGATCACCATTGGGCAAAGTGACACGCCAATGGAGGTTCTTCTGCAAGTAAGGGATGACATGCTGCGGTGCAAGACTATCGATCAGGCCGGCAACATATCGCTCGACGAGAGCGAGAGTGAGAGGGACCTGGCCGGTGATTCTCTGTCCTGAAGCACGGCCCTGTTGACAGTTTTTGCACGAGGTGTTCTCGTCTTGGCCGAAGGTGGCAAAGGCACCGACGTGAGAGTGGTTGGTCACATACAACAAGGGAACCGAGTCGTCGGGATTGCCCAGGAACACGTGGACAACGTAGTTGCCTCCGAGTTCAGCCTTTTCGGCCTTGATGTTGACAAGCCATTCGAGGTACTTGTTGTCGGTACCAATCAAGCTCTTCAGGTCACGACCCTCTGGAAGACTGAATACGTCTAGCTCATTGGCCTCTTGGAGTGGCTTTTGATCATCGGGTTCCGCAGCCAGCGAGAAGGTTGAGGCCGAGACTGGAGAGTTCTCGGCCTTCAAATGTGCCTTGGCACGACTCTTGAACTCCTCGGTGGAGGATTTGAAGTCTTCATCGCCACTTCTCAAAATGTTGGCAAATGAGGCGGTCTTTCCATACACACGATCCAGCTCGTTGAGGATGGACTCCTTAGTGGGAAACTTCCAGGACTGAGTCTCCGGGTAGACGTAGCCAAACTCAGTGGTGTATCTGACACCCTCGGACGTCCAGAAGACTTGATTGTCCTTCGTACCCAACTGGGCAAATGGAGCCAGCGGGGTTTTGATCGTCTCCGGGTCACCGGCTTTAACGATGAAGTTACCCCAACTCTCGCCCGCACGTTGGTCAGTCACATAGGTCGATGGATCATTGGGATTGTCGTGGCAAGCTTGCCAGATAGCGAACAGCCGGTCGACGTTGGTGTGATGGAGCCAGAAAATGGGGTCAAACGCGGCAATTGCTGGGTTGCCCATGTGCCCACTGCCTCCAGAGTAGGTGTGGATGGCATTATGAATATCTTCAATACTCCCCCATTCGGCAAAGTTGGGCTGACCTGGTTGCTTCGGAGGATTGAATCGATTGTGGGACGCAGATCCAAAGTCACGATACGACTGAAGGATGAAGATGACACGCTCCGTCAGGTTCTTCCCTCTTGAAGCCTGTTGAGGGTCTGTTCCAGAAAAGAACTGTGTCAGTCTCTGAATCATCCTGTTGTTGTTGGGCTGGTCAGGGTAGCGAATGGTGCCTCCGACCCTCGGGAACTAAGAGTGCCGATCAGCATTACGCATACATAGCGATGGTCTAAAGATAAAAGTACCTGATTAATGCTCGTATTCGTGCGCGACTCTCGGAATTTGTAGGTTGCCAGTGGGTTTGGGTCGATACGAGAATCCTTCTGGTTATTATGGGGACGCTTGACTTGGACCCTAGCTTGGGATGTAGCCTCTGCTGGGAAGACTCCAAGGTCAGGTCGAGCCCAGTCCCAGTATGGCATTCTGAAGTCTTTGGCCGCCTTCACATAGTCGCTTCGACGCTCATTGTCATCAAAGTCGTTGGCAACAGCGTTGACGTGCTTGTATAGCTCGGCCTGAGCCACGTTAGAAAGGGTCACTTTGACGGTGGGTGTTAGAGCTTACCTCGAATAGAGCGAGATATGGACGGTGCCAAGTAAGAAAGAGGATCGAGCTATGAGTGCAGAATCCGCCGAAATCATTGTCGACTCTGACCATCTTGTTGTTCCAGTCCCTGTCTGGCCATTTCTTGTACGGAAGCCCATGAATACCTGCTAAAGTCAGAACCTTACAATCCTCATTCCATACATTTTAGCCTCCAGTGCATTAATCTAATCGGACGGGACGTCACAGTGTATAAACAACGATATGGGTGCCATTAAGAGCGGAATTCTTTAGCTCATCTGGCCAAAAAGCAAGATGACTCCTCGTCGGGGTCGGGGAATACTTGTTAAGTGACAAGCAGATATCCTCGCCGCCAGACTATTGGGGGGTTGATGCATGTTGACGCAAATTAAAAACTTGTACTTGCCTGCAATCTCGAAGAAGGAGAGAGGCGCGCTCTCCGGTACCGAGTTTTGGAATCTCTCCAAGCCCAAGAGATACAAATTCCACTGATCAGGATGGTCCTTGATCATGTCGCGCACTTCCATGCGCACGGGAGGTTTGGCTTTGGGACGTCAGCTATGAATCACAGAGGCGGATTATACCAATTGTCATGAAAACATACCTGGATTGTCTGCCTTGATGCCGTGGACGAGCACGGGTCCTTGAGTTCCATCTGAAGACATCTTGAGAGTGAGTGAGTCTGATGATTGGTGATTTAGGTATGAAGTTGTCACAGATAACCCCGGAGAGGATGGCTAGTAGACACCAAAAACATGGATTATATATGTATAGCTGTTACTCCGGAAAAATCATGCATGTTTCTATGTACACAATATTGCGACACCTTTGCCAAGTTTCAGGCAGAACTGTTGCCTGTAAAATATCCTTCAGATTCGTAATGGTGGCGCATATCAACATAAGATATCTCTTCTTCGGGAAAGAAGCCGGAATGACAGAGTAAGCACGGGGCTCTCAGCCAGCCATGGCGTCTCAGCTGCTTTCGGTCTTGCGGCAATGGCCCAATGATAGATTTACTGGAATACTCACCGAGATTACGGGCAGATACGATAGGCTGCTTTCTAAAACATTGAAAAAGTATGTTTCTTAGCCTGCAGCTTACCTCGGGATCAGTTTTGGTGATGAATTGTTTGTCAAGTTCTTCCTGCTGATGTCTAGGCCAAGACTTATCAGCTTTGGGGGTGTAAGCAAAGGCTGCATATAGAAAGAGCAGGTGAGATGTCATCATCGGTGGCTTGAAACTTGAATTGACAGGAGTCAAAACATGACTTCGGCGATACCCCAGTTAATGTCCTCGTCACGCCAAAATTGAGGAACACGGTCATTCAGAAATGGATTTTGCGATCAAGCATGAGATATTCTCAATGCTGTTCTTGGAATCCGATTCTCTACTCGCATATTCGTAAACTTGTGTTGCGGAGTCATAACTCAGGACTTGATCGGCTCAAGTTTGCTATCATAGGCACATACACATGCATTGACAGGTTTCACTCATATAATACAAAGACAAATTTATTCAAAATTGAGAGTAACCTCATGAAACTAAGTAGATAGAAAGCTTCTGATCCTCTAAATCAGGCGAATGAAGGAAGAAAAAGACAATGCAGTCGCGACATCAAGAGAAAGAGCGAGTAGGTGAGACCGGTTATTTTCCAATGCAGCTGCCGGCATTGGGATCGGAACTATAAGACACTTGTTAAAGAGAGATCCTCTGGGGTCACTGTGAAGATTGGGAGTCGAGGACGAACTTACATGTATTGCCAATTCCAATAGGATGTTTTACCTCCCCTGTAGCAACCATAGGCCTCCTTCGACAGCCCAGACATGCACTCGGCTTGTCCTAAAACTCGTTTGCCGGTGTTCAAGTTCTATAATCGTATGTTAGAACACCTCAATTGAAATGAGAAGCACAATGCAAGAACAAGAATGCAAGACATCGCTGCGTATCCAAGTACCTTGATGGAAAAGTCCCACTTCAAGCCATCCGCCTCCTGCATGCAGTATGTCCGACTCTCCTCGCCAACGAAAGACTCTTTGGCTGAACCGGCTATAGCCATGCAGGCAAGAGCAAGACGGTCCGCGTTCAAGGCTAAAACCTTCTGCTTGAGCCATGTGCCATAGTGGCCGATCATGCCATTGGGGAAACAGTCGGCATTGACACCGGAGCTGGCAATCGCCATAGCGGTAAGGAAAGCAGTGGGCTTCATATTGATGAAAGTGAAGTTATTGAATCAAAAATGAGGGGGCTTTCTCGATGAGATGAGTGGATGAGAGACACATTTACAAAGAGAGGTGACATAGGTCAAGAACTTATATAGATACGAGTGCTCACTACGTGTACTCGGACTGATTCGAGATAAGTTACTCCTGGGGTAGTGCTATTCCAGCTATTCTTAGTTTTGGTGGGATGACTGCGTCATCCGAGAGCGACCATCTCAAGCACCAGACTAACTAGAACGTGCAGACGTTTGTCGCCTCGATCTCATGGTGCGTGCGGAGTTGGCCAAGGCTGATATCTGAAGTATGTTGTCGCATCCAAAGCAGAATATTTCTTTTGCTGCCTGATGTTC